CTAAGCCTCCCAAAGTGCTGGGTTTATACGTTGAGCTACCACGCTCAGCCTGACATACATTATTGATTTGATTGATTTTTTCATTCACTTAGAAAATGTTTATTGAGTGTCTACTATGTGTCTAGCCTGCTCAAGGCACTTGGAACGCAGCAGTGGCTAAGATAAAGCTGCCTTCCCTCGGAGCGCTGCAGTCTGGTGTATACAAATTGTAGTATATAAGTAAAGTATATGTGTGGTAGAAGATGACAGGGGATATGGAAATGAGAACAAGGGTAGGATCAGGTCTACGTGGCGAGGTGATTAGAGCGTGAAGCAGGGTGGTCAGGGTAAACCCCATTGAGAAGGTGGGGTGTGAGCAGGGGGTTGAAGGGGAGGAGTGGGAGTTAGCCAAGTGGGCACCTGGAGCAAAGAGTATTCCAGGCTGAGATAAAGCTGGAGCAAATATCCCAAGGCAAAAGTGTGCCTGACTTGCTAGGGGGAAAACAAGAAGGCTGGTGGCTGAAAGGGAGTGAACGAGGTAGATGATGGAAGGAGAGGCTGGAGACAGAATGGGCATTGTAGGTCATAGCACGGACTTAGACTTTTGCTCTCAATAAACCAGAAAGCTATTGGAGGATTTCCCACAGATGAGTGGGATGATCCAACTCACTTTTTAAAAGGATCTCTTTGGCTGCTGCCTTAAGAATAGATAGGGTGAAGACAGAAACAGGAAAACCCGTTAAGAGTCGGTTGCAATATTGCAGGCAAGGGTTGATGGCTCAAACCAGGATGGCTACAGTAGAAGGGTGAGAAGCAGTCAGACTCTAGATACATTTTGAAAGTAAAGCCAACAGGACTTCCTGACAGAATAAATGAGGGGTGTGAGGGAGAGGATTGAAGGAGGACCCGGTGTTTTTTGCCTAGGCAACTGGGTGTTATCAGTTGAGACAGGGAAAGTCTTTACCGGGTAGAACAGGATTTGGATTAAGCTCAGAAGTTCAGTGTCATATACGATGAGTTTGGCATATCTGTTGGAGATACTGAGTAGGCAGTGGGATATATGAGTATGCAGTTTGGGAGAGAGAACTGGTCTAAAATAGACATTTAGGAGCTAGCAGTACATGGGTGGTATTTAATGCTGGGACTAAATGAGATTGCCAAGGCAGAGAATGTAGATGATAAAGAAGGCCAAGGCCCTCAAGCCTGGGCACTTCAACCTGAATGCTAGAGAAAAGCAGGGGAAGTGGTAAAAGAAACTAGGGAGAAACCCCTGAGGTTGGGGAAAACTCAAGTGTGTGTGCCTTACAAGGCAAATGAAGAAAAAGTTTCCAGGAGGGAAGAGCGATCAACTGAGTAAAATGTTACAGATAGGCTAATGAGATGAAGACCGAGGATTGACCACTGGATTTATCAAGAAGGGAGAGCAGAGGTGAAATTGAGAGCACTTAGCACTTGGTAGGCATTTAAGGAATGAAGAAAGTTAATGACTCCAAAGAGATTAGAGGTACGAGGGAGACAAACTGGCCACATGCTAGATTTTGGATGTATGTTGATGTTGAGATGTTGGAACACTGAGAGGGAGAAAAATGATGCTTAGAAGGCATTAAAAATTGGTGATAGAGGGCAGGCGCAGTGGCTAACTGTAATTCCAGCACTTTGGGAGGCTGAGGCAGGTGAATCGCTTGAGCTCAGGAGTTCTAGACCAGCCTGGGCAACATGGCAAAACTCCATCTCTTTTTAAAAATATAAAAATTAGCTGGATATGGTGGCTTGTATCTATAGTCCCAGGTACTCGGGAAGCTGAGGAGGGAGGATCACTTGAGCCCGGGAGGCAGAGGTTGCACTGAGCTGAGATCACACCACTACACTCCAGCCTGGGTGACAGAGTGAGACTCTGTCTCTAAAAACAAAAACAAAAAAAGAAAAAAGAAGGGCTATTGTTACAGAGTCTTGAAGGATGAGAGTAGGATAAGGCTGAATAGGAGCCAAAAACTAAGTCCAAATCTAATGAGAATCTACCTATTTTCATTCATTGAGAGGCAAGAGTATCTTTTATTAGTTGGAGAGGTTAAATCGAGTAACATCTCAAGGACCTGTTCTACCATGAGATAATGGAAGAATGGGTTGGGATAGGTTGAAAAATCTGTTATGCAGCCTTCTGGATCGCATCAGAGCACTTCAGAAGAAAGAGAAGAATGTAGTTTTTAGTGCCTTGTTCTAGTAAGGCTGCTTTAAGGGTATGCTGACTAGGAGCAAGAATGTGCATGTTCTTCACCGTGAGCCTGTCAGACCAGATAGGACCAAGGTATTGGCTGTGACAAACCTTATACAAGGCTTGGTCAACTTTGTTTCAGCCATCAGGAGCAGGAACAATTCCAAATACAGGCACATAGAACCCAGATTAGCATCTCTGGGTTTGCTTCCTGTCTGAGGCCTGCTCACAGAAAAAAGCAAACCATTCAGGAAAAGAGTAAGTATTTCCTGGCTTGCTTAAGAGCCTACAGAATTCCCCTGTGTGGTGGTCAGTGCTACCTCACTTGCCCTAGATTGCCTTTCTGACCCTTGTCTGTTCTTCACTGGTGGACCTGGACCTGGAAGAAATCTTTGTGCTACAGCTACAAATGAAACTTGCTTTTATTCAAATAATTGCAGCGCTTGAGTTTTCTTTGCATTATTGACATTTGAATTTGAAAGCATGCTGGCCTTTGTTAGCCCAACATGAGGGAAAAACTCAGAAACTTTGGATACCTAAATCATGCCAAAATGCTCCATTTCATCTGTCCACTTCTACAGATTCGTGGCACGTTGTGGAATCTTAGTAATTATTTCATTAATCTTGATTGATTTCTGACGATAAAAATAATCGGTTTGATACCATAGAACATAAAAAGTAAATTAACAATGATAACACATACCTATATAGTGCTCACTATATACCGGGTACTGTTTTAAACCCTTTAAATAAATATTAACTCATTGAATCCTCCTGACCTCATGCTGGTGGTATTACTGTCATCCCCATTTGATAGCTAAAGTAACTGGATCACAGAAAGGTTAGGTAATGTGACCAGCTAAGTAGTTGAGCTGGGATGTGAACCCAGGCAGTGAGGCCCCAGAATCCGGCCTGTAAACTGATGTTATTACATGCCTCTCCCTCCTAATCCTATCCTCAGAGCTTGATTGAATGAGTAGCTAATCGATTTTTGCTTTTCTCTGACTCTGGATTTGGCCCCACAAAGACCCTCCAGCTTCCGTGGTCTCCACAGCCCGCAAGTGTAAGACCCTGCCTGAATTGCCACATCTCTGTGACTCTCTGAAGCAGGGGAGCCACTCATGTGCTATCTTTGCACCGACCCACACACCTCGGTGTCAGCTCTTGGCAGCCTGAGTCAGTTTTTGGCTGCCATTTTCACCTGCCCTTCCCGACTGTGAGCTCCTTGGGGATAGGGGTTGCATCTTCTTTATCCTTATTTCCCAGCACCTGGGATAATGTGTGGCTCAAAAAGTCATAGAAATTTTGGAAATGGCAAATTGCTGGCACAAATTCAGCTCCAGTGGCAGAGCGCCTTGTTGGATGATGGCTGTCTCTTGCTAAACCCAGATGTGGCCTCTGAGTCCTCCTCAATATGCCCCTCTAGGCAACCTCTATAATTCAATAAGAGATGGCATGTGAGCTGAAGCTTGTCTGCCCCCCCTGCCATAAATGTTTGCTGAACAGTAGGGACTTCATAAATTCCTGGGCTCACTAGGCAGTTGTTCATGAAAATAATGAATTTCCAAAATAAACAAGAAAGTGTCCCTAGGAAATCACTAAATATTTGGTGATAATATTGATCGTTTAGCCTTCTGTCACAATCATCTTCGTGACATTTATTGTTACTCTTGCTCCTTTTATGACTTACTTGAGCAAATCAGTTTTAATACTAACAGACTTTTAAAAACATACTGCGACCTTGATTATAGAGGTAATTATACGAATTTATACATAGGATGAACTGCCATAGTTACAAATTTACACCCCAAAAATTAGTGATGGTTAAAAACAGCTGAGATCTGAATAAGACCTATAGTCTAGTTAGTTGTATTGCATTAATATTGAGCTTCTGGTTTTGATAATGCAGTATTCATATGTAAGATATCACCTTGGGGGAAGCTGGGTGATGGGTACGTGAGGCCCCTGGGTAGCATTTCTGCAAGTTCTTGAAAATCTATAATTATTTCAAAATTAAAATTTAAAAAACAAAAATTACTTGGGATATTCAGTGCCTGGATTTTGTGGGGGCAGGGGGAGGACATTGGTTTGGGTCTTCGCCTTCCTGAGGCGTAGAGGGAGTCCTTGCATTTATGGAAAGGAGAGCTGCTAGGCCCCATAGAGCCAACATCTGAAACCAAACAATTTCAGCAAGCAAAGTGCACGACGAGTGGGAGTGAATCTCAGGAAAAGTGCCTCCCTTAGGAGCCCCTGATTTGCAAGTGGAAAAAATCCTCCATTTCTCTCAGCCCCTAATGCAGCAAGAGCCAGCACTTTCAAAGGTACTTGTTTTGCTCATAAAGTTCTTCCTCTTCCTTCTGCCCTTCACCTTTTTCCACAAGGACACAAACCACTCAAGTGCATTTCAGTCAGCCTGTGAGAACCATCAGAACACAGATATTCAAGAGAGGGAGAGACACCAGGCAGCTCAGCTCTAGGTGGATCTGGCAAGGAAACCTTTTCAAACGGCCTCTTGGAACCTGAAAAAGAAGGGTGAAGCCTGGAGACCCTGATTCTATCTTGCAGGCTGCAGGTCATCCCCTCCCCTCCCTACCCCCGCAAAGCCTTTGGAGCACTGAGGTAGTTTGGAGTTCCTTTGAAATTTTCGTGGAATAATTTTGCCTTTTACCAGCAGACTTTCCTTCTCAGTGGAAAATTTCTTCCTCCCAAAAATCTAGCCAATCTGGCATGTAGCTGATAAATTCCATTATTTCCTTAACCCCTCATTTGCTCTTCAAAGAGGTAACTAATGAAAGAGTTGGTTTGCTTTCTCTGAGAAGCATTTATAACAGCTGGCATGATATATTTTTAGCTTTAGCTTCCTTCCCCTTTGGGGGAAACTTTTTTTAGTATGGCACTGGCCTTCCTGATACATACTACATTGTAAACATGGCTCAGTGGTATCTCAGAGGACTTGATGTTGCCACCGGCTGATCCTTCTCCTGTTTCCAAGAGTGCAGGGTTTTACAGGACTATGATTTTCCTCATCATGGCTAGTGTCTGTTTTCGAGGTCTTGGGGAAGAATGATCAGAAAAGTGCTGTAGTGAGCAAGAAGCCTGCTAGCTGATCGTGTGTTGGAAATCCCTCTGCCTGGAAAAAGGCAGAGACCTCCATGGGCTGCGTGCACCTTGGGTCATGAGGCTGTGCCCTCCATCCCCCATCCAGGAGGATTTTTTTAGACTTCAATGACAGTGAGGGTTATTAAACACTAGATGAGCTACAGAGGAAGACAGTTGTGTTCTCATTCCCCACCAGACTTTAAAAATAGGATGGATTCTGGCTGGAATAAATGGCTTAAGTTGTACTAGCCTGGAAGAGGGGAGGAGGAAAGGGGAGATGAGCAGGATGGCTTCTGTAAGACCCTTTTTGAGCCCTGTAGTCTTATGATTTCTATTATTTCACAAGAATTAGAATCATAGACTAACTATAGCTGTTCTACAAACAGACAAGAAAACTTTTAAATTTGCATTTACTGATTTTTTTTTCTTTTAAGATTTTCAGGGTAAACTCAGGTTACACTAAAGAAAGATGTCTCATGACTGTAGCTTACACATATCTTTGATATCTTTAATTTCAAAAAAATTAAACCCCCAAATTTCATGGTCTCGGGTTCCAAAGTGAGGGTAAATCTTCGTGGCATCAACTGTTGTCAATCTACGGTATATTTTCTAACTCTTAAACACTAAATCTCATTCCTGCCATCCCCCTTCCCCACCCCAGCTCTCAGCATCCCCCATCCCCACGCCAGCTCTCAACATTCTATTAGGTAAAATACATTCTCAGAAAATCTCAGGTATCAGTCAATTAAGGGCAGGGTGTGGAGATGGGGAAGCCAGGTGAGCAGGGGGCTCCCAAATCTGGAAAATGCTATAAAGGGTTTTTGTGCGTTGGAGGAAGGCTAAAACTCCCAACATACTCCAGGGTAGTCATTCCTTGCTAAAAATTTGGACCATTTCCACCGACAAATTCCATGGCTAGAACTAGACAGTAAAGCCAATGGCAGTACAGGGTTTGCTTTAGAGATTTGTTTCACAGCCAGCCTTTCTGAGAGGCATCCTTTTGGAAAAGCCCAGCAAAACCCATATGGAGCTAAAAGATTTATAATGGATTACTTTATGCTTTAGTCTACTGCTTTGCACAGCAAGACATTGCTATTGCTATATAAAGAGAATTAATTATAAGGCTGTGAATGGTGTTTTAGAGATTCAAGTTGGGGCATAAACAATGAGGCAGGCTTGATCAAGAACAACTTTGAAGTCAGACAAGTTGGTTTTAAAGTCCAGTTTTTCCAACAGCTAGATGCCTGGTTATGGACAAGTTACCTGACCTCTAAGCCTCCTTTCCTCCTCCATGCAATGAAAATAAATTTCAGTAGAAGGCTTCTTAATTGACTTGATCCGGATGCGTAGTTGATGCATTCATTGCAATAACTGTTTAAAGAAGGGAATCATAAGAAATAAGACTTTAAATGTATAATTTTATCTTAAAACATAAATATATCCATTTGCAGTCTTTCATATAGCATGGATAGCCTTTCCTCTGGGAATAGAGTATCTGACAGGTTACTGTATGTCTTTCCTGCATAAGTCTCACCCTTAATGCATCATTGTCTTTGATTTCTTTAAAATGGAGCAGGAATTTAAAGGCATTTGCAAAAACATCAGAGCACAGACTCTTTCTAGACTCTAGTTTTTCTTTTTACAATTTAGCTTGTAGTTTTCTCACTCACACTGAATTCAACAGTAGATTTTTAAGCAAAAGTAATGAATATTTCTAAAGCATTTAACTACATTTTTTTTTGCAGTTAACTTTATAACTTGTATGTCATTGTTTCTGTGATACATTTTATAATTACATAGGTACAATAAGTACAACTGGCATAAACACATTCGGGAACAAGCTGTTTGACCCTTGGTGGACCTACAAGTCAGCTGGTGGGAGCAGAAGGGCACAAGTAAATTACAGTCCTAGGGCAGTCGGTGAGCCCTGAGCACCAGTAAGTGGTTTAAAGGGAATGGAGAGGAATGGTTGGTCCAGCAAGTTGGTGAAGTCAAGATGAGTTAAGAGAGCCTATAAGGAAGGTTGTGAGGATTAAATGAGAAATGTGTGTAAAGCACTTACCAGTAGGATAGCCCTTATTGTTGTTGCTATCACTGCTGATACTAGTAAGGATGCTGCTTCTACCAGCCCAGCCTCTGCAGTAAACTGTGATGGAACAGGATCCCTGGGGAAGCCCTATGACAAAGTTATTCCATTATGCTAAATTGCAATCATGATACTTTGAATCAGCTCTACAAAGGGCCAGCCTTCCACAATCAGGATTATTCCCTTATGGATTGTTCTAGTGATATATATTACTAAGTACCTTACAGTGGACCAGATTTTAAAAGAATAAAGAGTAAGGTAAAAATTTGTCGATGTTGCTTCTTTGGGATCCATTACAAACAGGAATAATTTTTTAAATTAGTATAAGAATACTATTTATATTTCAAAAAATTATCCTTAAGTAACAGAATAGGATTTAATAGCAATAAATTGGGCTGTGAACACACATTCAGGCCAGAGAAGTATGGCCAGTCCCATGAGGGCAGAGTGTTTGAAAGAAAAAAAAATGTGTCATAGTGAATTCACCTCCATCTCAGTGTGTAATCTTAAACTCACGGGATTTTCACTTCTTTTTGAAGGTGTGGGATTGGATGACCCCTAAGGATCCTTCTCAGCACTTTTATTCTTTTCTTCCAAGGTAGACTCTTCAACTGGGGAGCGCTGATGATGAGTCTACAGCACTCATTTGGGGTGGGTGTGGGGAGGAGGGTGAAATGTCTAGGAGAAGTGGGACGTGTCAGAGCCAGGAAGAGAGCTTCCTGCTATATTCAACATTAACTGCATACTACGTGAAGAAGCTAATATGGTTTTGATCCCCCTCATTTTAAAAAGACTGTGAAAACCAGTAACTGCTACCTGAAGTGTGAATGGAAGATCTGTGGACAGGGGTAGGTGGGGGAATTATTTCTCATTCTACTGTTTGAAGTAAGTACCATGTTAATGCCATGTATTACCTGTTAAAAATACATAAAATGAGAAATATATGAAGATGCTAGTGAAGAAAGAGGGGAAAAATATATCCTAAAAGAAAAAACAGGATGATTCAGCTTGAGATAATAATGCTAAATAAGGAGAGATCTGATAATTTGGAAATGTATTAGAGTTTATTAATAGGAAACACAGTATCATGAGTTCCTTAGTCTCTGCCATATAGAAAGAAAAGAAAATTGGCAAAAATAATACCAGTTAAGGTCATGGTGATGATGAAATTTCAGAGCATGCTATAATTATAAATGTGGATTCTTTGTTTTTTCTTACATTAAAAAAAAAGTCAGAGGATCACTAAGTTCTGTAACCTGGCACCTGAATTACAGGCTACTTGAAAGCCATTCTTGCTAGATGATTGTGGTTTTATCATGATGGATTTTTTTGGAAGAAAAGTGAACTATTTGGAGGCTCTTTGTTTGAAGAGATCTGATAAATATTTAGCATGTTACTGGACTTATTCAAGTACCACTAAGTCACATATTTTCACAGTGGAAGCAGGGACATGCAACTTTTGCAGTGTCTCAAAAACTACCCATTTTTGATTAAAAAACAACTTTTGCTATACCCAAGTCGAAACTAAGTCAGATATACATCCCTCGGCTCCAGTTTCTTGAGAGGCCAGCATTGATTGATAGGTAGAGCTCTCAACACTGTCCTACAGAGCCTAGAAATTAAACTTTCTCACAAGACCAGGGCTGATGGGAGGGTGAGTAGTAGTAAGAAACTGAATATCCTCTCCTTATCGCTTGTAAGTATCCAGGTGAAACATAGGAAACAAAATGCATACTGCAAAGATGTCTCATTTTACACAGTGGGTATATTTCCAAAAAGTTGTCCAAAACAACATTTTTTTAAATCAAATTATTTTCCCATTGAGTAAAACTGTGATTCATGATATGAATTTTCTTAGTTGCTCAGTTAATCTTCATTTGCAGGAACTCTTAAAATCTGGTGTTAATGTCCTCAGTTCCTGAGCGTCTCTAACAAAAGTGAATAATATATAAAGTATTTAAAACAATAAATGCTGAAAAGATTTCTGTAGGTAATTTTTTTTTTTGGCCATGTGTCTAACAGTCTTCTTTGATTGTTCTCTGATTGTATGTTGGGATTATTTAAGTATTAAGTATTTATGCTCTCTGATAATATGTTGGAAGTATTTAAGTGACTTTTGTGTTTTTAACAAGTTGCATTTATATGAAGTTGGAAGGGCAGGGCAGGTGGCAGCTACAATGCCCCTCTCAGTGGTGCTTGTAAACTCAGAGAATGTAGGCTTCTCAAAACGTCAGGAACTAGAGAGAGAGAACTTGCTGAGGAAAGAAGTTGACATGAGGATTTGCCCAGAATACTGCCCTGGGTCTGTATCCATTGCATGTATTGGGAGAATGCTCAAGACACCAGCATGCTTGCAAAGATGGGAGAATTTGGGTGTAGTCATGAGGCCTTAAGGAGCTGCATTGTGAGAAAGGGCATTGTTCACATATGTTCATCACTATTCAAGAAATTATTTTGGCTGGGTGTAGTGGCTCACACCTGTCATGCCAACATTTTGGGAGGCTGAGCAGGGGGGATTGCTTGAGCCCAGGAGTTCAAGACCAGCCTGGGCAACAGAGCAAGACCCTGCTCTCTACAAAAAAATTAAAAATTAGCCAGGTATGGCTGGGCACGGTGGCTTATGCCTGTAATCCCAGCACTTTGGGAGGCTGAGACAGGCAGATCATGATGTCAGAAGATGGAGACTATCTTAGCCAACATAGTGAAACCCCGTCTCTACTAAAAATACAAAAATTAGCCGGGTGTGGTGGCATGTGCCCGCGGTCCCAGCTACTTGGGAGACTGAGGCAGGAGAATCGCTTGAACCTGGGAGGTGGAGGTTGCAGTGAGCCGAAATCACGCCACTGCACTCCAGCCTGGCAACAGAGCAAGATGCCATCTCAAAAAAAAAAAAAATTAGCCAGGTGTGGTGGCTTACACCTGTGGTCCCAGCTACTAGGGAGATTGAGGCAGGAGGACTGCTTGAGCCCAGGAATTTGAGCTGCAATGAGCTGTGATTGTAGCACTGCACTCCATCCTGGGCTACAGAGCAAGACCTGGTCTCAAAAAAAAAAAAAAAAAAAAAAAAGAAAGTATTTTGTGCCTACAATGTAGTTATTAATTCTGCTACATTTAGCAGCATAATGTTAATAGCCCAACTCAATGTTACATACAAGTATTAATCTAAAAGTCCATAATGGCATCTCTGGGTAAAAATGACCATGTTTATGTATTTATTGACTTTCGGCAATGTAGCTCCAAATTCACCTGAAATCTCGGAATCTCAAAACATTGTGTGCTAAACTTCAAAGTCTGAGAGTCCTTGATGCCCAAGAGCATCCCTACTTTGGGTATGGGACTGACTATGTGATTGGGGCTAGGCAGTCCCGAAAGTGGATCTGAGCTGCAGATCCTAAAGTCAAGGTAAGCATCTTTGCAGGCCTCACTGTTGTTCAGGAATGAGTATTGTCAATACTCGGACAAAGGAGATGTCTTGAAAGCAAATGCATTGCTTGAAGATTTTTTTGCTCAATCTATGAGATTTATGAAAAAGAATTTAAAGCTGTGTGGTCACAGTTCTTTCCCGGTTTTCTGTTGGTGATTCTCTCTCTCTCTTCCCCTCTCTCTGTCTTTCTCTTGCTAGAGACAGCTGCATAATTTTTATTGCTTCCAGAGCTATCCTCTTTCTCCTCTTCCCCCAGCCACTCAATCTATATGCAGTTCAGAGACCAGGCTAATTATGGGGTGCTAGAGAAGCAGTTGCCCAGAGAAAAGCTCTTTAAGCACTCAACTGGGATAGAGCTGGGGTCACGCTCGTGACCATCTCCCCATTCATGTCTGCATGTGAGCTGCCTTCCATTCTTTTGAAGTTGCATAAACAAACTTTTTAGAAAGGTCAACACAGGAATCAATGCTTCTTCTTAAAGAACAGAGCAAGGAAAGGATTTCATGTTTACTTCTTGAGGCTTCACCACTGGAAGAATAGCCACAAAGCAGCCAAGAAAGAAAAAGGGTATGTTCTTCTCCTTAACCAGGGCTTTGTGTTTTGGCCGCTCCTGCAATGGCTTAGGAGCAAGAAGCTTTATACACTTAAGAATTGGACTCTTAGGTTGCGGTGAGCCGAGATCGCGCCATTGCACTCCAGCCTGGGTAACGTGAGTGAAACTCCGTCTCAAAAAAAAAAAAAAAAAAAAAAAGGAATTGGACTCTTAAAATAGTGTGACTCTCAGTAAAAGGCTTGCTGAAACTCTTTGACCCAGGAGATTGCTTTTGCCTGCAGGCTAGTTTGTTTTTTGTTTTTGTTTTTTGGTTTTTTTTTCCTAACTCCACTACATCATATTGGGTGAATGGTTTACTTCCAGAGATGCTAAGCCTGTGAGACCATTCTGCCACCCTAAATGACATAGACTGAGAGAAATGAAGCATGTACTGGAGAATTCCCTTAAGAATCCTGACTTTGGGCTGGGCGCGGTAGCTCACGCCTGTAATCCCAACACTTTGGAAAGCCAAGGTGGGCAGATCACCTGAGGTCAGAAGTTCGAGACCAGCCTGGCCAACATGGTGAAACCCCATCTCTACTAAAACTACCAAAACTAGCTGGGCATGTGGCGGGCGCCTATAATCCCAGCTACTTGGGAGGATGAGGCAGGAGAATTGCTTGAACTCGGGAGACGGAGGTTGCAGTGAGCCAAGATGGCACCATTGCACTATAGCCTGGGTGACAGAGTGAAACTGCATCTCGAAAAAAAGAAAAGAAAAGAATCCTGATTTGGGGAAAGAAATGTTCAACGGAACACTTTTCCCTATTCCCTTTCCCTCTTTTAGAACAGTCAGCTTAGACTCAGCCTCTTGGAATCCTTCAGACTGACAAGAATTTGAATGGCGCTTTAGTTGAGCTGTCAGAACTCTAGAGGAAACTGCTTGACACCCAGGTTTATCTTCAACTTAAAGACTCCCACTGGCCAAGTCTACACAATTGGAACTCTGCGAGGAACTCTACCTCAAACGGGTCCAAGATGGTCATGAGGGTCCCATTGGGAATCATAGCCCTAAACCCATGACAGAGTAGACTTGAAGGCTTCCTTTGGTGCTGAAGAAGCCTGCTTTTCCTCAAGTCCTATCATTTAAAGTTGAGTCTGACTTTCCCAAATTGTTCCAGCTCTGATCCACAACTCCCAAATCTAGCGATGGAGGTGGACTGGTTTTTAGGATTGAAGGGGAGAATTAGGACAAACAACCTCTTATTTCTCGACATCCCCTTCTTTGTGACACTCTATTTCATTCAGAACATGTGTTGATGGCACAGATCTGGCAGGGTTGTAGTTTACTGAATGGCAGAATTAGAGTCCAGAAAGGTCTTGGGCAATATCAAGTTGTGATTCAGAGCACATATGTTGGAGTGAGACTGACCTGGGTTTGAGTCCAAGCTCCACTGATTACTAGCTGTGTGTCCTTAGAGAAATACCTTAACCTCTCTTGGCCTTAATTTCATAAAATTAAAAAGGTGTGTAAGTGCCACCCATAAGTGGTTGTGAAAGTCCTCTCTGGGTCTACATATAATCTTGTTCTTGAAGACATCCTCCTATTCTCCTACTCCCATCTGTGTCAGTTACGCTCAGTCTAGCTCTCTTAGTCTAAAATCTTTGCTTCTTCAGCTCCAGAAAATTTTCTTGAATTTTAAAAATAATTTCCTCTCATTTATTTTCTTCCTCACTCTTTACAGAATTTCAAACTAGATAATAGCTCTTCTCTGTTGCTCTTCTAATATCCTTAATGTTTCTTCTCCTGTTTATTTTGTTCTACTTTTAATCTTTCTGTTCTCTCTGGGTGATTCATATAACTTGATCTTTCAAACATACTATGTAATTTTAAATCTCTGCTATCATATTTTCGAATTCCAGGAGTTCTTTTTTTCTTTTTAAGGTGCCTTTTTGTATTGCATTCTG